ATTTCACTTCTCCTAACATGCTTTATATGTGTGTTTGTGCATGTGTGTGCATGAATAAGCCTGTGTGTCTGTGTGTGCCTATAGTGGCCAGAGGTTCACATCAGGTGTCTTCTTCCTCGGCTGCCCTCCCCTTTTGTGCAGGTGTGTGTGTGTGTGTGTGTGTGTGTGTGTGTGGTGTTGGGCTTCAGTGGGTATGTGAATGTATATATGCGAGTGTATGTGTTGTGTGTGCATACCTGTATAGACCAGAGGTGTCTACCTCTATCACTATCCTTATTTCTGAGACAGTGTCTCTCAGTGAAAACACAGTTTGTTATGCAGCTAGACTGACCAGCAAGCTCCAGCAATCGTGTCTCCACACTGGGATTAAGGGCACAGCAATTAGCCTCCTTCCCCTAAGGATACTCTTATCTGCACTGAGGATAGCTCTTCTGATTTAATTGATAAAAGCCAGTCGGTGGAACTAAGTCTGGACAGCTAGATAAGCACCCAGGAAGGCAAGCATGGGGGGAGGTGCTCTCCTGAGTGCACTATCTTATGTGAAGTTAACCTTGATGAGAGATAAAATGACTTTGCTGCTATGAACTGAATTATGCCCTCACAAAATCCATATGCTAAAGCCCTAATATTTGGAGATAAATCCTTTAAATAAATGAAGAAGCATTAACGAAAGGTTAAATGAAATCCTGAGGGTAAAGCAATAATCCAATGATTGCTATCCTTCTAGGAAAGAAGGGGGACATGATGGAGCCACACGTGGCAGAAAGCTATGTAAGGGTACAGAAGCCAGCTGCTGCAATGAAGAAAGGCCTCAGTGGAGCCTGCGCTGCTAACATTGGCCTTGTACCTCCAGTGGCCAGAATTTTGAGAAAATAAACTCCATTGTTTAAGCCATCCAAACTGTGGTGTTTTTGTTATGGCAACCCCAGCAGGCTCGGGGCCCTAACCCTGACCCTGACCAGTCACACTGGAGGAATTGAGGGCAACAGCCTCACTACAGAACAGCATGTAGCGGCTCGCCTTGGGAAGGAAGGCCTTTGAGGCACCATACTGGTCTCTACCAGTCAAGCACACCAGGTCAGCCTTTCCCCTAGACCTGCATAGTCTCACTACGTGTTAATCCCCTCTTTTCCCGTACTCCTTACTCCAGCATTGCCTTCACTTCCTCTGCTGAAGTTTGGATCTTCAATGTTCCCCAGAAACCATGCCTTTAAGACTTGGCCACCAGCCTATTGTCCTACAAGGTGAGAGAGCCTTTAAGAAGAGCCTATGGGAGGAAGTGAGGTCACTGGGTATGTCCTTAGAGGGGATACTAGGACTCCAGCCCCTACCTCTTGGTTTACCAGCTGCCATGAGGCAAGCAGAACTCTTCTGCCATACACTGTGCAACTGAGAGCAAAGTGTTGCTGGAGTTTTCTTATCCTGCCAAGTCCTGCTGCCCTTCAGCCTCAAATAAACACATGGACACTGTATTAGTTATAAAACTGTTGACCAATGGCTAGGGCTTCTTATTGGCTAGATCTGTTTTAATTATTAACCCATTTCTATTAATCTATGCATTTCCACGTGGTCTTGGCTTACTGGAGAATGCCCGGACTTGTTACTCCTTTTGTGGCGTCTCCTCGAGACCTCTCTCTGCCTACCTTTCCCATAATTCTCCTAGTCTCCTAGTCCCACGTATCTTCCTGCCTCTATGGTCAAACAGTGATTTATTCATCAAACAATAAGAGAAACATATGTACAGAAGGACAACCTCCATCATAGAAGCAACACAGCCCAGTGTCCATGGGATGGAAATGCTCAAATGTGAGCAAATACATTTCCAGTCTAGGGATGTAGCTCTATGATAATGTTTGCCTGATGGGGCTCCTTCATCTGTGGGCTCCTGTTGGGTATTTCTGCATGTGTATTCCATGCATCTGAATCTCCTCACTGGACTCTAAATTCTCCAAGATTAGCCTAGTGGTCAAGACCCTACATGCGCTGGCTCTAACTTTTTTCTCACTTTTTCCAAGCTGGCCAAGCCTTCACTAACCCCTTGAAAGCTGTCACGTTCCCAGTCTTCAAGACTACCCTCACCAGAGCTTCTCCTCACCACCTCAGCTAAACATGCAAGCATAAAACAGCTTCACCTCTGCAGTTTTCACAGGGCGACCACAGTGACCCATTCCTGCAGAGAGACCAGGAGACCACGACATGTGATTCTGTGAAGTGGTTCTGACAATGGTCTGGAGTCTGCTCAAACTCTACCAGCTTAGGGAGGCTCCCTAACATGATTGCCGTCACTCCAGATACCTGTTGCATTTCTGCCCAACTAGGTATAATGCAAGCATTCTCAGAACCCCCCCCCCAGCTTCAGCAATCTGCAAAACAAAACTCAGGAAATAAAAACACTGTGTTTATTTATTACAATTTATTTACAAATACAAATCAAGGGCTAGGACGTAGCTCGGTGACAGAGAAGTGCACACTTCACATCCACAAAACCCTGGGCTCAATCCCCAGAACTCAAAATTTACACATAGAGAATATATATGAATGAATATACAAACCAGCACCAACTACCCAAAAAGAAACAAACATATATGTGTTCACCAATCAGCAAGTTTGGCAGAAACTAGTGTCCAGAGTTCTGGTCAGGGTCACTGTGTAGGTCTAATTGGTTGAGATCAGGGGCCATTTGGATGAACTCAATCTCTAGCCTTCTCCCATCCTGGCACTCAGGCTGACCACCTTCAAAATTCCAACCCTCAAAGCATAAAGCTGGTCTTTCTAGGTGACTGGCCTCCATCATGAGTCAAAGCTTAACAAATTCTGCTGTGCTCTGAGGCTCCAACATGAATAATAATAATACTTCCAGTTATCACTGAGGAAACCTCAAAGATTTAGTTTCCCTCTCAGGAACTGAGGATGGTTGACTAAAATCTTACTAATATTTAGTATTCTGGAGATGACTGTATCCCAGGAGATAGGGAGACCACATGTTCCTCAAAAGGAGGTCCCAAGACATGTTCCCATCGTGGTTGACTCTCTAGTTCTTATCACAGATCACCCAACAACCATTCAAGTGACAGAGGAGACACCAGCCTCCTCACAAACCCCAACTGTGCCCCAAGTGCCTCATGAACTACAGGACAGGCCCCCTACCAAAAGCCCCACACTTGGCTAGGACAATTAGAGGTCTCACACAACACCTCTCCAAACTACTTGAGAGAGGTTTTTGCAAACAGTGAATAGGTAAGAAGAGAAGGGAGGAAATACCCTAAAAGTAACATTCTCCTGCCAATGAAGTATATAGAAGGGGAAGAGAGAACCAACACAAGAAGGGTTAGGAGTCTTTAATGCAAGTCTGAAAAACACAGGCTGAAATTTTTATAACATTGGTCCTTCCCCAGTGAGGAAAGGACTTCAGAGTGGACAGGAAATTCCCTTGTAGTGCTATGATACCCCCAGCTCAGAGGGAGGCAAGCAGGAAGAGTTTGTAGTGAGCACCATGTGCTGGCCCTCTTCAGGGTACTGTCAGTGTCCCTCAGTCCTCACCCCAGTCTCTCAGTCCTCAGTCTCTCAGTCCTCACCCCAGTCTCTCAGTCCTCAGTCTCTCAGTCCTCAGTCTCTCAGTCCTCACCCCAGTCTCTCAGTCCTCAGTCTCTCAGTCCTCAGTCTCTCAGTCCTCACTCCAGTCCCTCAATCCTCAGTCTCTCAGTCCTCACTCCAGTCCCTCAGTCCTCACTCCAGTCTCTCAGTCCTCACCCCAGTCTCTCAGTCCTCAGTCTCTCAGTCCTCAGTCCCTCAGTCCTCAGTCTCTCAGTCCTCAGTCTCTCAGTCCTCAGTCTCTCAGTCCTCAGTCTCTCAGTCCTCACCCCAGTCTCTCAGTCCTCAGTCTCTCAGTCCTCACTCCAGTCCCTCAATCCTCAGTCTCTCAGTCTTCAGTCTCTCAGTCCTCAGTCCAGTCCCTCAGTCCTCAGTCTCTCAGTCCTCAGTCTCTCAGTCCTCAGTCTCTCAGTCCTCACCCCAGTCTCTCAGTCCTCACTCCAGTCTCTCACTCCAGTCTCTCAGTCCTCACTCCAGTCTCTCAGTCTCTCAGTCCTCAGTCTCTCAGTCCTCACTCCAGTCCCTCAATCCTTAGTCTCTCAGTCCTCAGTCTCTCAGTCCTCACTCCAGTCCCTCAATCCTCAGTCTCTCAGTCCTCAGTCTCTCAGTCCTCAGTCTCTCAGTCCTCAGTCCAGTCCCTCAGTCCTCAGTCTCTCAGTCCTCACCCCAGTCTCTCAGTCCTCACCCCAGTCTCCCTCAGGCCTCACAATGTTCACCAGTGCCAGGAGGCAGAACCCCATTTTACAGAGGTTCCTGAGTCTTAGGGAGGCTGTCCATAAGCAGGTCAGGCAGGGTGGCACATGCCTGTAACCCCAGCATTTAGGCAGGAGATCACCACAAGCTTGACGCCAGTCTGGTGTCTACAGAGAGGGTGCCAGGCTGGTCACCTCTGCACAGTGAGACCTTGTCTCCAAATCCAGAAGGAAACAGGGTATGCTGGCACATCCTTTTAATTCCAGCACTCGGGAGACAGGTGGGAAGATTCCCTGTGAGGTCAACACTGGATCTTGTCTCCATTATGAGTTACAGGCCAACACAAAGCTACCTTGCTTAAGATTTTTAAAACAAATAAATAACAATAACAAAAACAAAACATGAGCTTTGGTTTTTCAAGACAAGGCTTCCCTCTATAGCTCTGGTTGTCCAGCTGCTCACTTTGTAGACCAAGGTGGCCTTGAACTCAGAGATCCTCCTGTCTCTGCCTTCCAAGTGCTGGGTTTAAAGACATGAGCCACCACTGCCTGGCTGAAGAAGGTTTTAAAAAAAAGTTCACAGGCCTCACAGGGGAGAAGGGAATGAAAATCTAGACCTTTCCTAGTCTACCACATAGAAGTCTCCCTCAGATCCAACCTTGGCCTCCCTGAGTAAATTACATTTTCATTATTTATTTATTTATTTTTGAGACAGAATCATCTAAATTTATTTATTTTTGATCATCTTGCCTCTGAGTGCCGGGATTACAAGGGTGTACCAGGACACCTGGCTAAGAAGTTCATTCTCGACATGATGTCTGTCCTGGTTCCTGGGAGGAGAGGAGCCAACTAGAGGGAAATGTTCTGTGAGCATAAGTAGGGCTCCTGGCAAGACTGTCCTCTGGTTGGGGAGGGGGGTGTGTGGAGAGGACAGGTAAAGGGAGGTTGGACTCTATCAGTACACTTAATGCATGTGTGGCAACATCACACTGAACCCCACCAATATGTACAGTTAGTGTCAAAAACAGGCTGAGGTAGATCAGTGTTTGCTTTCCTAGTGTACACGAGGAAAATAAAAAAGAGGAAAGATTAAAATTAAAATTATCTTTCCTCCAAAAATTCAAATACGACCTCAGGCATCCTATCTGGGGCCCTCTGCACACACAGGCTCCCAAGGAAATGACGTGGCAGGTGAGTGCAGAGGCCCACCTTCTGCTGAGCTGCGCAGTACGAGCCCCTGGAGACACAAGGGCCATGCTCAAGTGACGGGAAGACGGCGGGAGAGCTGCCCAGCCTGGGATCAGCGTCTGCCTGGCCATCCGAGGACAGTCCACAGGGCTGAAAACGTGACCTCCACCGGGGAGGCCAGCAAACCCTGCGTGTATGCAAGACTGGGTGTCTAAGGAGTACTAGGCCTGGCTGGGCACTCACCGGTTAGCAGAGGCAGGAGCCCCAACTCTCGGAGTCTTTCCCTGGCCGCTGCCTCCCAGCCCTTGTTGGCCTGTGGACTTCGAGGGGAGGGATGCAGGAGCCCCTCCACCTGCACCTCGGGGCTCAGCCCTGCCAGAGCTCTTCTCGCCCGCTGCTCTGCAAGCCGCCCCACTCCCACTACCAGCCGCACCCCTAGAAGCTGAACCTGCCGGCAGAGGGCTGCATCGCAGATCGTCAGTAGCTGCTCCCGCTGCTTGGCCGGCAGCTCAGCTGGGGTTAGGTTTCTTCCGCTGGGAGCCAAGAAGAGCAGAGGACACAGATTGTGGACAAAGCAATGCCGGAAGAAGACATGGGGCTGTCCGCAGAGGGTCCGGAAAAGGCCCCAGAACCGGGCCCCGCTCACCTCTGACTGTGTGCACTTCAGTCCCAACACTGGTCGCTTAGGGTGCTCTTGGGGAGGGGTCAGCACAGAGCCCCCAATGCCCAACCAGTCCCGGACCACATTCACTTCCCCAAAAGGTACCTGTGGGGAACGAGGTAGACACAAGGGGATTCAAGCTGGAGATGACGATCGGGCTGCTGTGGTGGTCGCGCCCGCCCCCACCTTCACCTTCAAGTCTGTGCTACCCACTCCCCGCCCTGTGGTTTGCCCCTGTCAATCTGTCCTCCAGTTTCTCCCACTGTGAACTGTGGCCAGCAGACACTGTGTGCCTCTACCTTCTCCAGGCACTAGGACCTAATACAGGCAGAAAGCAGGACATCTGGCCCTACAGAGGGCATCATTCTAGTACTGGTGACAGACAGATCTCCCGAGACTGGAAGTTAGCCGTGTGAAAGCAGACAGGACAGGCTGACCACTGATCTCTGGGTACCCTCCCAGCCCCAGGCCTCAGGCTGTCATTTCCATCGATCACCATTGATCACCTTTCATCACTCAGCTGGGGTCAATAAAAGCGATTGAGCCTCCTGCCCTGAGGCTTCCTTACCTCCCCCACCTGCAAGGCACCCCTACCGAACAGCAGTCACTCAGCCTGATCCCTAAGGGAAAGCCGGCTGACCTGCCACTGACTCTGTTAGGAACCTTTTGGAGACTCAGGGACTTGCCACCAGAATGCCCGGCAGCTCTTAAACCCCTATCGCACCCCCACCCGGTCTTCCTGGTGGATCCAACAGTCCCAGCCCCTCTCCTGACTCCAACCACTCTAGGGACAAGGGAGATCCGGCAAGGTAAGGTATAGGGCAGGATGGCGGAAGGGAGGGCTCTCAGAGGCAATTAGCAGAGAGCTCACAGGGGAAACGGAACTACCATTAATGTGCTTGGTTAACTATGAACAGAGAAGCAGGGAGAGTGCTTGAGACCACAGGAGCCAGTGCATGTCTTGCAGGGAATGGATGGGGTGGGGGACCCACCCACCTCCCAGCCAATTGCATGTTCTTCCTCCACAGCACACCCAGGCAAGCCTCCACCTCAGAACCGCCCACCAGAGGAAGACAGGCCTTTACCCCAGTCTGGGCCATGCCAAAGGGTCCTGGGTTCATGCCCAGGAAAAGCACTTCCTTGGGACCTTGACAGTAGCGAGTCACGTAGTAACTGTGCGGCTCCCAAGCATAATCCACTGGGTTATAGATGACACCCACAGGCTCTGGAAACTGCAGCTGACGGAGTTCAGCATTGAGCCGAAGCTCCTCCTCCAGGAACCCCTTAGCCAAGCTTCCAGTGCAAGACAGAGGCTCCATCAAGGGACCTGCAGGTTCACTGGTAGGCCCGGGCAGGAAAGTCTGGGACACAGCCATGCCGCTGTCACCTGGGAAAGAGGTATACAGAGTTTCCTTCAATCTCAACTCAGAGTCAGGATCTGTACTAGCCAGGGGCTCTCACTATCATTTCCTGGCTCACAAGAGACCTTTGGAAGCCCTGCCAGTTACTACAAGCTCATTTCTGGTAATGAAGGGACCTCTGCTCCCACTTCCAGAGTCCTCCCTCTTTCTGATACATCAAGCATCCTACATTAGTCACTCGTCTTGCTGCAACAAGGTACCTGCAAAAGCAACTGAAGAACCATTCATTTCAGCTCTCACAGAGCACAGTTCACCAGGGTGGGCTGTGGCTGCAGGAGCATAAGGTAGGCGACCACATTGCAGCCACAGCCAAAATTCAGAAAGCGATGAATGCCTGTATTCAACTAGACCTCCCTCTCCCTTTCCCTCCCCCCCCCCCTCCCCATCCCTCCCACCCACAGACTTTTATGAGACAGGTTCTCACTATGTAACCTTGGAATGTCTAGAACTCCATATGCTGACCAGGCTGGTCTTGAACTCAGGGTTCCTCCTGTCTCAACCTGGGATTAAAGGTGTGTGTTACCACACCAGGCTAGTTTTTATGTCAACTTGACACAAGCCAAAATCATGTTGGAAGATGGATCCTCAATTGAGAAACTGCCCCCACCAGATTGGCCTGCGAGTGATGACTGATTGGGGGGGGGGGGCCTCGGCTCACGGTAGGCAGTGCCCTCTGGGCTATTGATCTCGAGAGCTAAGAAGGCAGAGTGAGCAGGCCGTGGGAACAAGGCAGTAAGCAGCTCCCCTCCGTGGCTTCCGCATCAGCTCCTGCACTGAGTTCCTATTCCGACTCCCTTTGATGATGGTCTGTGATGAGAAACAGCATGCTAAAACAAACCCTTCCTCCCTGCTTGCTTTTGGTAATGGTGTCTTATCCTAGCAACAGAAAGCTAAGACAGCCCAGGGCCCCCATCCCATGGGGTGGTACCACACTCTCAAGTTTAAGTCTTCTCACCTCAGCTAGCCTAATCTAAAACCTTCACCCACATGCTCAGAGATTCATCTTCAAGTGATTCGAGGTCCTGTCAAGGTGGCAAGCAGATATTAACATAACAGTGCCCCACCCCAGGCCTTTCACCGGTGAGGCCTGAGCAACTCATTCTCAGGCCACACAGAACACATGTTTTCTTCTTCACTTTCTATTTTCTTCCTCTTTCTTCAGGGTTGAGGGTTAAACCTGAGTTCTTGGCCATGCTAGGCAAGTGCTCTACCTCTAATCTATAATCTTAACCCCTTTTGCATTCAGGTGGTGGGCAGTACGTCTCACTAAATTAGTCAACCTGGCCTTGAAATAACCCTGTAGCCTCGGTTGGCCCTGAACATGTGATGCTGTTGCCTCAGCCCCTGAAATAAGTGAAACTCAGCCTACATAAACAGGCATGGCTACATAATAGATTTCTTTTCCCTCTTTTTGGGAGGGATGAGATACATTTCATTTCTTTAAAAAAATTTTTTGGTTGAAGCATGGTAGTAATGCCTTTAATCCCAGCACTTCAGAGGCCAGTGAATCTCTGTGAGTTTGAGGTCAGCCTGATCTAGACAGTGAATTCCAGAACCACCAGTGCTATGTAGGATACATACCTTTAATCCCAGCACCAAAGAGGCAGAGGCAGGCAGATCTCTGAGTTTAAAGCCATCCTGGTTTACAGAGTGAGTTCCAGGACAGAAAGGTCTACACAGAGAAGCCCCCCAAAAAAATCAACCACCCCCCAGTAAAGAAAAAGATTTACTTTCATTTACATGTGTGTGTGTGTGTGTGTGTGTGTGTGTGTGTGTGATTGGATTCCCCTCGAGCCGGAGTTCCAGGAAGCTGTGAGCTAAGGTGGGTAATGGGAACTAAATTCTGGTTCTCTGCAAGAGCAGTGCATGTTCTTAACCACTAGGTCAAATCTCTGCCTCCTCCTTATCTATTTATTGAGATAGGACCACATGTCACCCAGACTGGTCTCAGCTTGCTATGTAAACAATGATGGTCATAAACTCCTGATCCTCCTGCGTCTGCTTCTCTTTCCTTCTTTCTTTCTTTGTTTCTTTCTTTCTTTCTTCCTTCCTTCCTTTCTTTTTTGAGACAGGGTTTCTCTTTGTAGCTTTGGAGCCTGTCCTGGCACTTGCTCTGTAGACCAGGCTGTCCCCAAACTCACAGGGATCTGCCTGCCTCTGCCTCCCGAGTGTTGGGACTAAAGGCGTGTGCCACCACTGCCTGGCAAACAATTTTAAATTACATTTGCACATATTTGTGTGTTCATGCATGTGTTTAGGGACACATGTGCCATGACACACGTGAGGCCAAGTCACAGAAGCCTGTTGCCACTGTCCACCATGTGGGTGCTAGGGATTGAACTCAGTCTTCAGGCTTGGTGACAAACACCTTAACCTACTGAGTCATTTAGCTGGTCTGTCTCCACTTCTTAAGCGCTGAGATTAAAGCCTGCACCAGGCCAGGCTACACTGTCAGGACACATCTACTGGCATCCTTTCTCTCCAATGTCATCCTTAATAAAGCCAGTCCAGTCAGGATGAGCTTGTCCTGGAGATACTGTGCTGACAAATGAGGTGCACAGCCACAGCCCAGAGACTTGGGAGGGCTAATTACAGCAGCTTCCAGGTGGCGAGCAATTGCTCTCCACCAGGTACACCTCATTGATCTTCATAACAACCCCATGAGGTGGGTATTATTGCTCCCATGTTACAAGCCAGGAGACTGAGGCTTAATGAGATCAAGCAAGTTGCCTAGGGTCATGCCGTTAGTAAGTAATGAAGCTGGGATTTGAACCCACACTATCAGACTCAAAGTTATGCCTTAGATGGTTTGATCAGCCACCCTACTTAATTCTACAAGCCCCTAACCCCAGCCCAGCTCTTTCCCACACTCAAGAATCCTCAGAGGTGAATAGGATGATTACCAGACTCTATGAATAGACTCTTACAAGCTATGCAACCATGGACAGAGCCTCTGGTGTTCACATCTGAATACTAAGGATAATAATGCCCACTTCATAAAGCTGCCTATGAATGGAAGAGGGGGAGGAACTCAGCAGCAAACCTTCTAAACTGCAACAGCTGTTCTCACACTGCTAAGCACACCCGGAGCTTGTCCCTGGCCATTTCACTTGCTTTCAAAGTGCTTCTCCTACCCCAACGCCCAAAACTTTGTACAGGTCATCTTTACAAACCCAACCAAATATGACTGAGTTAACCAGGCCACCCACCAGCGATCAACCAAGAGGGAGACCCAACACATCCAGTTCAAACTCGCCCTTCAAGATGCAGCTCAAACCATCTCCTTGGGGAAGCTTTGCTTCTTCAGTACACTGAAACATTCCGCAGAGCCCAGCCCCACCCTACAAGCCACAATTATAAAATGTTGAAGGTTTGGTCTCCAGCTGGTGGGCACTATTGAGAGACAGCTGAATAAATGAGGATGCTAACTTCATAGGCTAGTGGAATAAAGCCTAGCTGGAGGGAGTAGGACCTGGGGAGTGCCTTGGGAGCGTCGGAAGGGTGTGTTCTTGGCCCTGGTCCCTCCCTGCCCGCCCCCTTCTGTTTCCTGGCTAACATGAGCCCTATATCCACCTTCCCACCATGATGCTCTGCCTCAGTCCAGACCTGTAGCCATGAGAGGCCAAACAGCTGGGGACTGGAACCTCTCAATTGTGAGCCAAAATCTCTCTTACCTCTCTCATGCTGTTTTTCTCAATGAACTGCCTACCTCATCACACACGAGAAAGTTGGCTGCGAAGCCAAGGGCTACGTATCTTGAACAGAGTGATTTGGATGCCCTGGTGAGGGCTGAGAGCCATTGGGTGCTGACAGGCTTCTTCATGAATTCATCCTGTGCCTCCCCAGCCAGAGTAAGAGAGATGGGAAGCTCTACTCAATTCCCCGACACACATACAAGGTCCTAGGTTCAGGTACTAGACCCTAGGTACTCAACAGCCCCTGTCCAGCTCCAGCCACTTCCACCGTATCAGTCTTGTTTAAAGCTACCGTCCAACAAAGCCCTTTTTGTTTCTATCTTAATATGTTTTCAGACAAAGCCTCATTATATGGGCTATCCTGGAACTCAAGATGCAGACCAGAGTAACCTCAATCTTGTGACAGCCTTCCTGCCTCCACCCCCTGAGTGCAAGGATTACCTGCAGGTGTCACCACCATGCCAGGCCTGGAACTGATTTGTCCACATAGGCACCAGGACAGTCTGGAAAGCTGGCAGTGGTGTGAACTGGGGTTCCTGGGACCTCGCTTTGCACTTCCCTATGTGGAACCAATATTAGAAACAGCAGCACCGGTGGTGGCTCTCAGGTGCTGAAGACACACAAGAGAGACAAGTTCCACTGCTGAATTTTCAAAGTCCAGTCTTACACCACAGGCTAAAAGTCAGCTAAGCTGAATTCTAGCCCTGCCTTTATTTCTTAAAAGGTTCTTTCCCTTAACACTTATTTATTTGTTGAGGAGACCAGGCATGCCATAGCACACATGTGGTCCAAGTTTTGGAGAATGGGTTCTTCTACAGTCAAGGCTCTGAGTGTAAGGACTCGGGCGTTATGCTGGCCTGCCCCCGGCACCCGGAAGATTGCACTCAGGCAGCTCCCTGATAAGCTCAGGGTTCCACCAGTACTAGTCTGCGCACAGGTACAAAGGACCCCTTTAAAAGACAGACCCCACCCACCCACCCACTTACAATCTCTTCCCAGCTCTCTTTCCTGCTGTTCCCCTGGGGTAGACAGGACTTTTCCTGTCTCCCTCTTCTCTTCTGTCTTCTGTCTCTTTACCTCTTTCCTCCCCTAGCTTTCCCTTTCTAATAAAAGTTCTCACTAAGCTGTCTGCCTGATGTGTTTGTCCCCCACTCGGGTCACCCTCGTCTGCCGTGCAATCCTCCAAGGCTCCCCCTAGCGCTTTCTCAGGGTCACCAGGTTTGGTGGCAAGCGCCTACCAGCTGAGACATCTAAAAAGGTTGTCTTGCACAAGTCATTGTAAGTCTCTTCTCCACAGAAACCACGCATTCCACCAGCTGTCAACTTGTTTATCTTTTAAATAGTTATGAGTCCCTTACGTGTGAGTCTCTTGCTGGGGGAATAACTCCAAAATGAATAAAATGTAAGACAGGCTTTGGGTAAGCCATGAACTAAGAGAACAGACAAACAAGCTGAAATACAGTATAATCCAAGCTTTACTATCCCAGACAGAACTTTAATGGAGCACTAAGAGGAAGCCTAGCAGTCCTACCTAAAGTCACCAACAGTCATATGCTTAATAGGCTGATGCTGCAAGTCAGGGAAACCTCGTGGTTCAATCTCCCACATGCCTATAGGTCCTGCACTCAGGAGGTAGAGGCAGAAAGAAGGGATCAAGAGCATTCCTCCCATAGCAAGGCTGAGGCCAATTTGGACTACATGCAATTTTTCCTCAAAAAACAAAAACCCAGATGCTCAAGAAACGTGTCACACATTTGAAATTGCATTTAAAAGCAAACCTTGAGATACGTGTGGTCAAGGCTAGATTTCATACTCGTATCTGATCTATCTGAAATTAACTCCAAGAAGTTTAATAGAATCCAAGCCACACTGGGCTAGAGAGGTAGCTCCACAGGTAAGAGCACTGGCAGCTCTTACAAAGGTCTCGAGTTCAATTCCCAGCACCCATAAAGCGGCTCACAACAGTTTAACTGACTATAAGATCCAATGCCCTCTTCTGGTATGCAGATGTACATGCAAACAAAACACCCACAAGTAAATAATCCTAAAATGAAAACAAGAGTCCAAGCCACTAGCTATGCCCTGCTCCTTGTAAGCTCTCCAGGGATCCACGGGATTTAAACCAAAATTAGCAGCGCAGCAGAGCTCATAGGTCCCCCTTCAGGCCTCGGCGTCATAGCGCCGCCACCCCTCCCGAGGCCCCGCGAGCCCCCTCCGCCCCCGCTGAGATCCAGCCCCCTACTCTCTCACCTGCAGCAGCTCCCCATGCAGCTTCCGCTTCCTTTCTTCGTCGGGCGCAAAGGACACTGGAAGTCGTAGTCAACAGCACTTAAATTAGAAGAATGGCTAGCAGCGTCCGCTTCCGCCGGAAATGCCCAAGTCCCCGGAAAGCTCGATGAATGAGCTCCACGGGTCTCTGGGGATTGTAGTTTAATAATATGATTTAAATCAGGATGTCTCGGAAGTTAGAGGCCAGTTCATTCATAACAATCTGGACTCTCCAGCCACCCCTAATCCCTCATCCACTATAGACCCTTCCCAGTCCCCCTGCTGCCCTAAGCTATGCGACCTCCTCTGCAGCCCTCCATGGGCTGTGTGCATAACATCCAAGGAGCGATTTCTTGAATGCCCCACTCTTGGACAATGAACATCCCATTACCATTGGCGTCCAAATTCACAGCATCACCATTTTGACCTTGCTCCTCCTTTTGCCTTGACATCTGCCAGCCTATATCCTAGATTGGAGTTCTCCAGAGAAGCAGAACCAAAATCATTTTTCTATCTACATGAGGAGATATACTGCAGAAATATGCTCCAAGTCATATGGAACCTGCTGTCTATAACCTGGAGAACAGGAAAGCCCTCTGTGGTTTAGTCTGAACCTGAAATTGTTCTACAGAGAAGCTTCTGATAGAGACGTCAGAGATGGAAAGATCTGAGGACCAGTCTCCATGATGTCTGAAGGCAGAGATGGATGCCCCAAAGAGGCAGAATTGGAAGCTAGTATGGCTGGTGTGACCGCACATACTTGGATAGCTGAAGCAAAAGGACCACCCGTTGAGGGCCAGCCTGGGCTACTCAGTGAGACTCTATGTGTTTCCAAAAGTGTGGCCACCCAGAGTAACTCCTGCAGATGGTCCCCTCACCTCGGCATACCTGGCCAGCCCGGAGTGTGGGGGAGCAGGACACAGGACCACCAGCGTGTTCTAGTGGGCGGGCACCATGTGAGCACCTGGTCTGCTGCTCCTGGGGGAAGGGCGGTCCACTCCACCTGAGACTCCTCCCACTGCCTCACCCTTGGCAGTTCCCCACCTCTGCCCCCACCCCCAATTTCCAGTGTGAGGGAGCAGAAGTATCAGAAGTTCAAGGTTAGCCTGTGCTACATAGCATGTCTGACACTAGCCTGAGCTAAGTGAAATCTTGGTCAAAAAGGAAGAGGAAAGGGTTTGATGGAAGGGATTGACTGTAGGCTCCCCCACCCTTCCGGGTGCCCCTCTCCCCGACAATTGTTTGGCTTACCCAGCTCTTCCGGTTGGTATCTTGTTCCTGTTTCAGGGAAGGGTGTTGTTTTGAAACAGGGTCTCCTCTCATCTTTGCTGTCTTGGAATTCACTATGTAGACCAGACTGGCCTGGTCTCTAGACCAAATCTGCCTGACTCTGTTTCCCGAGTGGGATTAAAGGCCCACCCCAGCCCATTTGTTGGTCTTTACAGCCTCCTAAGAGCCCCAAGTTGGCCTCCAGCAGAGCAACTGTGAGTAAAGTGAGTAGCTGGGAAACACAGATCCTACAAAATTTCCCCCCACCGTCCTGGTATGGGGTGGCTCTTGCCTTTAATGCTGGCATCCTGGAGGTGGGGGAAAGCATCGCTGTGAGTTCCAGGCCAGCCTGGAGTACATAGTGAGCCCTCTCTCAAGAAGAAAGACCAAAAAAAAAAAAAAAAAAAAAGGTGCTCACCACCTAATGTCAACTTCTGTAGAACCGAATAACTCTCTGTGTCTATGAGTCCACTGACTCCTGGAAGCTGAGAGTGAGTCCCTAGGGAAAGAGAAACAGAGGTGCCGGTGGGCAGCTGACGCTAGCCCTGATGGCATCCAGCCATCCCCCAACCCTCTTCTCTTTCAGAAACTCTGGGCTTGGAGCTCTGCTAGAGTACAGGCATTTAAGAATGAGACCCCAAGATAAAAGGTGGGCATAGCCCTTCCCTAGCTGCCTGGCCCTCCAGAAGTCTTCAGGGGACGGGCCAACAGTGCTTGATGAATTGGGAGGCCGAGGAGACAGCAGATCCTGGCTGTGCCCAAGGGAGAGCTAGCCCTGGGCTGTGGAGCGGCCTCTGAGGCCCAGCGGCAGCTGCTCTGCCTGCCAGCGTTGTTCGGAAGGGTTAACTTGCTTTCTTGTTTCCTTCGGGTTTCCGCAGACTGCAGGGCCTGTGTTGGGCCACGAGCGCCATCTATCGGCCTCTGGATGAGCTCGTTTCGCCCCGCTAAGACTTCTAGGCCAAGCAGCCTTCCCTGGCCAAGGACCTCAGGCTGCACAAAGCTAAGGTTGCCAGGCCTCGTTGTTTGCCTCACTGGGTACCAGGTGTCACCTGGCCACCTCCCTGGGGAACTCCAAAGGACTTTCTAGAGCTTCTGTCCACGCTCTGACCTCCTCTCTCCCAACCAGGTCGTACATGAACGAACATTAACATGAAGCTGATAGTCCCAAACCAGGGCTAGATTTGCCGTCACGGTCTCCACTTACTAATGGGACCTCAGGCAGGTTACTTCACATTTCTGTGCCTCAGTTATCCCAACTGTAAAATGGGACAGTCCTTAAAATGTATCTCTTTCGTGATAAATTAACCCACAAGGTGTTTTATTAAGACCTGGCCCAGAGGGGCTGCATGGTTAGTCATTGTTGCTATGGCTACGGGCAGGCCTACAGGCAGATGCTGGGGCTGAGCACACAATACTAACCCACTCATCCCTGGAGAGTTCATTAGAGACCACAGCCTGCCTGGTAAGATTTGGGACTTGGAGTCTGGGCTGCAAAGTACCTTTCAGTCTCCAAATGTCAGGAGAAGATTGGGTGAAAGACCAGAAAAAAGAGGGGCTTGCAATAAATATGAAGGAGGGTGGGTTTAGCTCAGTGGTGAACTGCAAATTAGCATGCACAAAGTCCTGGATTCCATGCTAGTGTACACACACACACACACACACACACACACACACACGCACGCACGCACGCACGCACGCACGCAGACAGACAGACAGACAGACAGACAGACAGACAGATGCAGAAAGAGAGAGAGGCAATAAGGAAGAATTATCAGGCACATAAAATGTCCCCCCGCCCCGTACAGGTTTATGCATGCACCTATAATGTCAGCGCTCGGGAGACTGAGGAAAAAGGATCACAAATACAGCACCAGCCTGGGCTATAGACTCTCTCTCTCTCTCTCTCTCTCTATATATATATATATATATATATATGTGTGTGTGTGTGTGTGTGTGTGTGTGTGTGTGTGTGTGTGTGTATATATATATATATATATATATATCAGAGAAGGGGGCTGGTGGTAAGATAAAGCAACAGGCAAAGGTGCCTGCCACCAAATCTGAACCCACATGGCAGAAGGGAGAAGAGACTTCCTGCAAGCTGTCTTTGGGACTCCGCCTTCTTGGTGACACATGAGTACACATTCGCAAATAAACAAATGTCAAGCAAACACCAACCCACAAGAGGCCCAGCTTTAGGGCAGAGGAGGAGGGCAGACCCATTGTAAAGAGGAGGGGACCAGTGAGGGGACCCAAGGGCGGGTGTGAGGGGGAGGGGAAACTGCATCCCAGCATCCTGTCCTGGGTGTGAGGGGGAGGGGAAACTGCATCCCAGCATCCTGTCCTTGACTCTGGCTGAGAAGCCTCAAAGGTTAAATCCCTCCAGTTCTGCGGGGATTTAACCTTCTGTGGCTTGCCTTGTGAGGAGACTACAGTAGAAGAGGCTGCCTGCAGGTCCCCAAGCCCCATTCCCACCCCCCTCCCAGAACCGGGAGACAGGGAGTAACAAGCCATTTCCTAGTCTCTGTTCTCCATGTCTGCCTTCCTCTATCTATCCTGCAGAGAAATGGGTATATACATTTCCCCAAGGCGTGAGGAAGTACAAATGTGGGTCTCCATCGACTAAGGCTTCACTCTGACCCTTAAACCCAAAACCGCAGAGGTCAACTTTTGAGGTTGAAACCCACTTAACTGGAGGCAGGTGGCAGCTTCCTGGCTTTCCGGTTCGGTGTCCTCTACTCCTGGCTCTAGATGCCTGGGTACCCAGGAGAGGGGTGGGCGCTTTGCTTGCCTGGGAAGCAATTATCTATCAGAGGAGCCGTCAGCTCGCTGAGGCTCTCTTCTCACTAATCGGATTTCATCAGGGCCCCGGGCTGGGGGGAGGGGGTGCTGAGTAATTTGGCTTGATGCAGTAGTGGTGGGAGATGTCGGGCTAGGAGGCTGGGTAATCTGTCTGAGTGGTGTTAGAGTTGTCCAGAGCAGTTACCCTGAGGGGACCACACAGAAATCAGACAGACAGCATTTGGGGTGGGGGAACTGGCCCCCAGGTCTTGGATCAGAAAAATGGATGTTAGATTTCGATTTTGCAGACTGAGAATTGTCTCCTGCCACTGAGCTGAGCTGAGCAACTAGGAAGGGGGAGAAAGATGATAAACCGGGAAGCAAGGCCACAAAGCCAAGTGGAAGAGTGAGACCCAACATGTACACACGCACACACACACACACACACACACACACACACACACACACCGTCTGTGTCCACAGCCAGCCAGCCACAAAGGAAGACTTGAGGCCTCCAGTGATACTAGGAGGTCATACTTAACCCTGTCTGTCACCTGCTTCTCCCGCAGCCTCCCTGGGCCTCCCTTCCCTTTTCTGCCCATATCGCCCCAGTGCGCCCCAGTGTGGTGTCCTCCACCTCCCGGCTTCCCTCCCCCTCCTCTCCTCTAGTCCACAGTCTTAAGGAAGCCAGCAGCAGCAGCTGATCAGTGCTGAGCCTCCTCCCACACCTGACAGCGCAGAAGTATGTCCAGCAGGGCTCACCTCTCTCTCCCGGGTTCTTCCCAGGCCCCAATGCCAAGGCCCAGTTCTCCCCTCTTGGAGGGTTCCCCTCTCTTTGCCTGTTCGAGGCTGGTGACCCTTGGAAGCAACCCAAAGTTCCCTGTTGTCTGTTGGTGCTTGGTGCTTTAGGGGTCGTGGCTCCGCCACTCGGTGTGTTTCTGGATGGTGGCACTTGTTTCTCTCAGGGTGCAGCCAGGACTTTTGCCTGGTATATATAAATGTGTGTTCAGTCAATCCCTGTGCAGGGCTGGGATGGTGCCCAGAGGGGAGCCCTGGCTTAGCAGAGTCCAGGTCCTGGGTTCTACCCCCAGCAATGGAGGAAGAAAACAGCAGAGTGGGCATGGTGGCGCACGCCCGCAGTCCAGCCCTTGAGAGGTGGAGGTGGGACCATCAGGCAGTCAAGGTCATCCTCAGCTGCACAGTGAGTTCTATGTCCGAGACATTATGTCAAACACAAAGTGCCAGACCTGCGAGCTGTCTGCCACCTGTGTTCAGTGGCTCCCCAGGCTTCAGGGGAGGAGGGAATGCCAGAACCCTGGGCACACACTCCTTCACCTTTGGGGGAGGACACCAGACCCAAATCAGCCCACGGGGACCTTGCTTCTTGCTCTGGGGGTCAGCGGCCTCTCCTGCCACCCAGTACCTCCCTGTCCTCTCAGGTCGCTTCTCTGGGCAGGGGTGGCATCGAGAACTGTCCCACCCTCACCCCCACCCCGTTACAGACAGGTTGAAGCGGAGCCCGGGCAGCCTAGGCACCAAGAGGACCCGGATGCAAACCCGCCCCAGCCCTCGCCCAGGAGGGAGAGCACGCGGGAGCGGTGGGCCCCGCAGCCCAAGCCCGCTTGCATACATTTGCATGTGATTTGCATGTGATCAACTTCATGTTCAAAGCCTGCCCCTCTCCCCACGCGGGCAGGCCGCCCCGCACATCCTCCTGGGTGCGGCCAGGGTCCCCGCGCCCCCCGCGCTGGCCGAGCCGCGCAGCCGCGAGCCTCGCGGAGGATCCCAGCCCATTGAGGCCGCTGATTGATGGCGCTGCCCTCCGTGTGAACCCGCCTTTAATACCGAGGAAGTTATGAAACCGCCATACATCAGCGCCCGCCGCCCCGCCCGGCCGCCGCCCCGCCCGCCGGCTCCTCTTCAAAACCTCATTTGGGCTCCGGCCGCGGGGCTCGCAAGGAGGGGGGAGTGGGACCCCGCGCGCCCCCCACGGCTGCATCTCCGGACCCATTTAGAACTGCTGACATTTTATCTGTGTTCCATACATCACTCCGTCCCCAGCAGCCATCTCGCAGCAAGCGGCGGGGGGGGACGGCCGGCGTCCTGAGCTGAAGATGCGAGGAAGCCGCCGGGTGGAGGTGGGGAACCGCCGCTGCCTGCACACCCCTTCCCCACCTGAGAGCTTGTGCAGGTGTCAGTCTAGCAGGGGGTGTGCCCTGTACAAGTCCCTGCTGCCTTTTCCTAGGGCTAGGTTTTGTTGCCCATCCTCCTGATGAAAAGTATAGTGGTCATTTAACCTTTCTGTGGACCTCTTCTAATATTTGCTGCACACACGCCCCTTGCTGGGAAGTCCTTCTGAATATCTAACCATTGTACCTCATGCTGCATCTTCTTGTTTTGTTCTTGGAAGAGAGCCATGTCGCCTCTCGCAGGCTTTAAACCCTTTGTTACAAACCCCTAATAATAGTCCAACTACAGCCACCTGCCCACACTCTTGAGTTTTACAAACGTGATAGGAGGCAGACAGCTAGGCTACCCTAGAAATGGAAATGGAGATCCAAACTCAACAAGAAACGAAGCCAGA